CTGATCATAGAGGAAGATATTTCAGCCTTTCCGCGCTGAGTGTGATGTTACCCAGGGGCTTTTTGTGTGTGGCCTTTATTCTGTTAGGGTAGTTTCCTTCCATACCTAGTTCGTGGGCCGTGTTTATCATGAAAGGGTGTTGGATTTCATCAAATGCTTTTCCTGCACCAACTGATGGGCTCCATGTTTTTCCTCTTCATTCTGTTCATGTGATGTGTCACATGGGCTGACTTTTTGTTTGTTGATCACCACCTTGTGTTGCAATAAATCTCATTTGACCTTGATCATGGCGTATGATCCTTTTCATGCGGTTGGATTCGATCTGCATTTAGATTCACAAGGGGCAGGAATATCTAGTTCTTTCGTGTCTTGTACGTTGTTGGAAGATGCAAAACCGTCTCTTATTTGCAGCTAGTGACGTGGTGCAATCACTGTGGAAAATGGTTTGTCAGCTCCTCAAAAAATTAAATGCAGAATTATCCTGTGACCTGGGAATTCCAGTCTTAGATGCATAGCCAAGAGAATTAGGAATGGCGCTCAAGCAGGCACTTGCTCACGAGTGTTCATAGCAGCTCTGTGCACAGTAGCCGGCACAGACAAAACTTGGCAAAACAGCTCAAGTGAACAGGTAAGCAGTGCAACGGACAGAAGTGAGACGTAAAAAGGAATGAGAGGCTGACGCTGCCTACAACATAGGTGAACCTCAGACGCTGTGCTGAGAGAAGCCAGATGCAAAATCACAAGATACGTAATCCCGTTTATACGAACCATGCGGATTAGGTCAAGGCACAGAGCCAGAAAGCTGGCTGGCAGTCACCAGGGGCTAAAGGTTGGGGGAAACGGAGACCGACTGCTCCGTGGTGTGGGTTTCGTTTTGGGATGATGACAGTGTTTTGGAACCCAATTGAGTAGCAGTTGTATGACATTTTGAGTGTACTAAACGCCATTGAATTATCCATCTTAAAATGCTTGGTTTTATGTTACACAAAGCTCACCTAAAAATAATTATGCTCTGATTTGTGTCCTCTCAGATCTGAGGAAGCAAACAAAGCCTTTTCTGCAGCTGTACAAATGCACGACGTGCTGGTGAAAGCTTGGGCCATGTGGGGCGACTACCTGGAGAACATCTTCGTGAAGGAGCGGCAGCTGCACCTCGGGGTGTCCGCCATCACCTGTTACCTGCACGCCTGCCGGCATCAGAATGAGAGCAAATCGAGGAAATACTTAGCCAAGGTGAGAACGAAAGAACCGGTTTTCCCCGAGGGCC